TATTGATCATCAAATCCACTCCTTAAGGGCCGGTGTCCTGCGACTGTTTGATGTTTCTCTGCTTCAACACGCCTGAGTCAAATAATCAGGTCATTAGCTGGATATTGGACTCACTGAGGAAAGGATGGATGGATAGGATTGCATCGCAAGATTTTGGGACAACAACTTCGGTAAGAGCATTGAAGATGGGTCATAGCTGGGTCTTCTACGATGACAATGACCCAAAACACACCAGCAAGGGAACTAAGGAATGGTTCTTAGGAGCATTTCCGTTTCCTGGAGTGGCCCCAAAACCTGGAGATCTGTATGAAGGAGTGGTGAAAATAACTACTGCAGCCAGCATGTGTAACCTGGTCAACAACTACAGGAACAAAGGTTTCTGCAAGCCATATTAAGTTACATTTTTCTATAGCACCAAATACTTATTTCATGCAGTAAAATGCTAATTATTATTATTAAATTGCAAACCTCTCCCGTCTTTGTAAGTAACTTCAAAAGTCAGCTGTGTATTAAATACTTATTTCCCCCCCCTATATTCTACAAATACATTTTGCCTACAAATGTAGCACCATTGAAAGGGAGATGAACAGCCTTTCCAAAAGCGTAAGATTTATTACCTAGAAGAATTGTCACAACGAAGAATTTTTATTACCAAACACAAATTCTCTTATTTTGTGCTGAGTGTACATTCATTTTCTTTCAGATAGTTACTCTTGAGTTGTATTTTAAGTTTGTTTCATAGGGAAGATTACTGGTAGCGCACCACCTCTAAGCTTTATTTCAGCTGTAAATATTCAGTGTCTTCTGTAAGAAAATACAACAACAGTCCAATGCAATTTTAACATTTTAGAAGGTTGTTACTATAATTACATAAGCGTCTATGATGTTTGAGTTTGGGTTTTTTCCATGTTGGCATTGAGCATTTGACAATAGAAAATACTCAGATTATTTACACCTGAGAAGGAGCTTGGAGGCGGAGTCCCACCAATAATCTTCCATGTGAAACACAAGTTGAAAATTAGCATCTCAAACATTGCTTGTCGGGAAAAAATCTGATAGTAATCTTTTATAAAAATCAATCAAATATCGTTTTTGTCTACCGCTATGATGTTTTTGAGGTTGGTTTTTTTTTAAGATGGCAGAAGTCCACTTTGGTCTTGATCTCCCTCTTTGACTATCTGGTATCTTCACTGTCAAAGATCAACTAATTCAAAGAATTATTATTTGATAAGAGATAATATTAACTCTTTACAACAGAATCT